AAAAAAAAAGAAAAAAAAGTAACCACATAAAATGAGGGGAGAAAATCCTCTAGCTGTCAATGATGCAGAATTTTACCTGTATGGGAGCAACTCCAGATTGCGCAATCAGCTTCATTAGCCCTTTCATCTTCTCTGGATGATATTAAGGTTAGACTTACTTAAGAAAAACAGGAAGATCAGCCCGTGTGGAATATGCCAATCAAATTCAGAATGACTTGAGTGCTTTCTGCAGTAAGTGGCTTATGTAGTTCATTGTAGATTGATGCGGGGGAACTGCTGATAGAGACAAAACACACAGGATAGGATTTCAAAGGCCCTCAAGCTGGAGGATGAAAATTCTTTAGTAGAATTCCTTTTACTTAGGTGAAGTAAAAATATCTTATGTAGTGTATAAGGAGGTTTGAATTTAAATCCATGAGAGGCCAACAAAGCAGCATTTTGAACAGCTCAGCTCAGGCTCCCTTGCCTTCTGTAACCAGTGCAAGATGCAAGACAATGTTTAATTTATTCAGTTGTCAGACAAACTTTTTTCTCTTTAGAATAAGAAGCTGCAGAGTTAAAAATACAAGAGGTGCATTTCCATGCACAGTAGATAGAACGTACAGTCGAAAAAATCCTAAATGTTTATCAAAAGCTAACCCAAACCTGGCTAACTGCAAATGCCATTGAAATGAAGCTTCCCCTTACAGGATGGCATTGCAGATGCTGCCACACAGCCCAAGTGGGGAAGTGTAGGAGGAAGCAAAGGGGAGATGGGATCTAAGGGCAGGAGGGTGACATAATGAGCTCTAGTTAAAAAAGGGTGATCACATGAATGTCCTCAAAACTGGGATTGTTAAAGGCTTATATTAAGTGGGAGTAAGGGGGCTGTATAGTGGAAGGAGGGAGCTTCTGTTCTAGCGTTTGCTCAGAAAATGTTTCAAAAGGCATTCAGAAAAAAAGCCTTAAAGTTGAGCTGAGAACTAGGAATTTGCTCAACAGAGGTTGGAGGTAACTTGACTAGGGTCCACAGGTACCCACCGTGACTGAAGTTATCATACCGAAGCTCTAGTGTTTTAGTGACTGCGAGCTTAAGCCCGAGAGTAAGACTTGCACATTAATCTACAAAAGTAATTAGCTTTGTAGCTGTTTAGCAGGTGATAGCATAGCCTGAAATTGTTGAAAGTGTTTGTCTTTGGAAATATGTTTCACTTCAGACTTGTATTTTTGACCTTGGTGCTGCGTAAGAACTGCAGAGTAAAATACTGAGGCCAAGATGTGTTATGCTTGATGTTAATAGACTCGGGAAATGCCCGTGTACAGAGAGATATAGGAGAGGTGAGGCAAAATGCAAAGAATGCTGCTGTGATTGTCTTCAACTAGCCTATAATAAGCCTAGGAAATTGTACTGCACCTGAACAACCTTGACTTTGGCCTTTATGGCCTTATTCCCTCCCAGCACCATTTTAATGTTTGTGATTCCAGGTTGTCTAGAAGCAAAATCTTTATATTCTGCAGCATAATAAAAGTGTTAGGTACGGCTTGAAATGTAAAACTCTTTTAACCTCTAACTGGAGAAATACTATGGTGCTTGCTTAAATAAGATTTTTCACAATGTGTCCTGTAACAGACTCTATTAACTCATTTTTTCCCTGCGTCCTCTCTTCTGAGTACCTAATGGCCAAACTTTCAGCTGTGTTAACAATTTGATGGTTCTAATGGACTCCTTCATTGCAAACCTCTCAGTGTTGCATATAATACAGTATGTTTTTATGAATCCATATTTTTCTCTCTTTATGACAAAAATTGAATTAATCTGAGAATTCACATTCTCTGTAACAGAGAAATTGAGTATATATAAAGTTCCCCCAAATCATATTCCATCTTCCAAGTATAGAACTTCACTTCCCATGCCAGCTATATTTACTTGGTCTTGATGCAAAATGACTGCGCCTTTAGTCTTTAGGAACAGAAGTAAAGCAATTGTGGACATCCTAATATACTGTCCATATGTAGGCAGATATTCTTTATGTAGAGGTAGCCTTGATTCTGACCCTGCTGTTTGTACATATTCCTAGCTTTTGTACCTGAACATATGTGTGTTCCTGAGATGTGTGTGGGAATCCTTCCTTTTTTTCTCATTCCAGTTTTATGCCCAGTGCTGCTTCTCCCATCCACCTATTTTCTGCTGCCTGGCTTTGGCTTGTGCATTCAGTCACATTGCTTTTGCTCCACTAAGTTCCTCATGTCCTCCTGGAAAACCCGCAGAGAGGCAGCACTGACCTCGTTGCTCACCTGCCAGCCCAGGTGCCCGACCTGCCAGGGCAGCGTCGTGGTGCTGCTCTGCAATGCTCCTTGCTGCCTGCTTCTCCCTCCTTGCAGACACTGGCTTGTCCAGGAGAGGAAATTAAGCCGAGTCTCCCCACATCTCCATTTTTCCTGCCCTGTGCAATGTACTGACTCCAATGATAAAATCACCTGTGTGTTCTTGTGTGTTTTTTTTTTTTTTTTTTTTTTTAATGCAGATTGCATAACTTCAGTTCTGGCTATATACAAGGTCCTCTCCTTCTTCTTTTCTGAAAATATATCTGTACAGCACAGCTCTGTTTTGTCTGTGTTATCTCTATGTTATGTATTAGGGAACATCTGCATATAGGAGGGGTTCTTGTCTTGCTGACTGCTGGTAATGTCATTCGGATGGTTTCTTACTTTCAGCAGTTATTTTTGTATCTGAGTGTTGATCCATGACTACCACACCTGAATCATGAATGTCCTCTCCTCACACTCTCAAAAGCAACAATGCTGTGCAAATTTTACTGGGAAATATGATTTCTTCTTTTTCTGTGAAAGCACATGACCGAGTTCTTCATTTTTCACTCCTGGATTGTCTCTTGCCATGTCTTGGGTTTATGTTCTCCCTCACGCTTTGCCTTGCACAGCTTTGAAACAGTGTCCAGATGGTCTGTGCCTGAATTGAGTCCTTCTGGAAAGAGCCTCGTGATTGCCACCCAACAGAGGCTGGAGCTGCACTGAAAGGACTGAAGCAGAGAGGCTCTCTTCCCTTTCACTGACGTTAAGAATTGCATGGAGATTTCTATACATGCATGCATATGCACACATACACAGGCATATAAAAACTATAGAAAGTATTAGAGAACACTATAGGGTCTTTTATACCTCCCCTCTTCATTTTGAGCAAGCAGCCCATGTTTTCAGAATACTTCTGATCTGAGGTTTACTGCTATTTGCAGTACTTTTTACTGGTTTTAAATGGAACCTACAATTTTCTAGGTATTCAAACTCTGCAGAAAAGGAATGAACTATATGTTAGCTTTTAAGCTCAGAAGCTTTTTCACTCTCTAGGCGGGTGGCTCTAAGTGCTACGTGGTTTATATCATAACTACCTCCTCAGAGCTGTGGGCAGAAAAATGGGTGTGGGGGAGAACAAGGCTCCTAATGGTGATGTTTCAACCTAAAATTTTGCACTAGCTGGACAAAATTGGACCCCTTTTTTATATATGCCAGAAATGTGTTAGCAACTTTAAATTCTTTCCAACATGGATGTTCCTTTGACACAGAAATGTCTTAATTCTTAAGTAAATAATGCTATTATGCAATATTTCTAGTGAACTGAAACCACATAGTTCAAATTTAAATTGTTTCAAATTAATTTTAGTTACAAAAAAAACCTCCCACAAACCATGAGATACTGCCTAGTTTCTCCAGTTAAGAGTTAAATCAGTCAGCCTACAGTCTATCTAGTTATAACAATTAGATGCAGAAATCATTAATAATTTAATTTGATTATAAGCACTCTTTTGACTGTGGTTTGTGTAGGAGATTGCAAATAGGAAACGCAAAGATCATTCAGGAAAATTAAAAGGCTGAAAAAATGTTATATCTTATTTAATTATTTTTAAGTCATAATTAATGTAAGGTGTTTATTTATTAATCTCTGGAAAATGAATTCTGTCCTCAGAATAAGTGCTGTGGTTTTCTCAAGCAAGTGCTGTATTTCTCATATAGAAGTGAGGTCAAATTGCTCAACCTTAACTTAAGAGTTGGCTGTAATAACTTGAGGGATGCTAATAATTAACTCGCTCAAATTCTCTATGCCTCTAGGATACTTTGTGGCTCTAACATTTCTCTATTTTGAAATCTTGCTGTTGGCATGGTTTATCTGGGTCATTTACTAGTCATTGTCTGCTGCTTTATCTCTTGCTGGCCCTAATTTGTCCATCTGGAATTAAGGCCGGATGGAGACAGAATTGCATCTATGGCTGCAGTTCCAGGCCAACTATCACAAAAACAAATCGAAGTTGAAGCACTCTCGTATTTGAAGCCTGGGTCCTTTTGAGGATACCTTCTTCTGAACTGCAGAGACTGGGACAGCTTACTGCTTCCTATCCCTCTTCTTGCTCTCTCTTCAAATGTGGGGAATAACTTCACAAATGTTCTTATACAGCCATAACTCTGAAATATCTGTGTGGGTCAGAGTTATTAGATTAGCTATTAATCCAGCAAGTGTAAAAATCAATTATATGATTTTATTCTTTACCCCTTGTCTGCATCATATTTCCCTTCTTATCCCTGACTTTGGGATCACCCATATATAACCTCCTTTGAGTATCTTATCCTCAAGCAGAGAATAAACCCTAGTAGTATTTTGGGTGTTTTCGGTGCATTTTTGCTAGAAAGCAGCATTCACCCCACTGAAATGTAATTTTTGCTATACATATAACATTGTAAATAGATTAGAAGTGTGCGTGGGGAATACATGCTTTTGATTAGCTATACAGAGCTACAGCAAGAGAATCCACTGATTTTTTTTTCAGAATAGCTTTTCTGTTCTTGCAGGTCCCTTCTAGCCAAAAGCCATACATTGCCTTCAGTGCTGCAGTGTCCAGGAAAAGATGACAATCCTGTCTTTTCAGCAAAAATACAGCAATCTCACTGCAAAAGAGAAAACACAAGCCATGCCATGGCTTTGCAGCAGCAAACTAGAGAGCTGCCTGGAAGGAAACTAGAGAGCTGCCTGGAAGGAGACAGGCTCAAGAAAATGCGAGAAGCCGAGAAGCGACCCCAGATTCTGTTGTAAGCCTTCTTTTTTTTTTTTTTTTTTTTTTTTTTTTTTTTTACAGACTGTGAGAACTATTACTGCACCAGCTGGAGCAGACTTCAATTTCACAGGGGAAGTAAAACGTTTGGTAAGAGAATGATGTGAATCACTCTGCTGTTGTGCTCCAGCATGAAGATTAGCACTTGTTCTTTGCCGCTTTGCTCCCTATTGCAGGCAAAATCCTGTGTTGTAGTTGCACCCAAGAAAGGCAGCCTATCTGCAGAAAAAGCCATTTCAGATGTGGTCTCCTTGCTAGGTGATAGTCAGGATTTGTATTAGCAAGAGACTAGCTGCAGGTTCTCCACTTCAGTGTCTTAGCCAGGTGCCTCTGGCCTTGATAAGTTGCCTTCTGCCAGTAGGTAAGTGTTGTCTTCTCGTGCACACCCATGCTCTGGTCTCAGAGATGTTGTCAGGTGAAGGTGCTGGTGGCCTTTCTCTGATGCCACCATCCAATTCTGGTGACCTACATGGCTCTAGTCAGATAGCAGCAAGAAGAATATTGCCCTGTTTGACTCTTGTGTTTCTTCTCCTTGCTAACAGAGCTTTCCAGAAGACTCTAGACAAACATTTGAACATGGAAGGCTGATGATGCAAATCTAAATTTCCTAAATATATAGCTGTCACTGATTTACAGGAAATAGCTTCAGCATCTACAGAGTCCAGAAAAAGTCTCTCTGGGAAAGAGCAGTCCTGTATTTATGAAATTCAGGCCCCAAATAAAGGATTAAAGCCAGCAACTTGATTGCGGCTGTTAGAGCCCCTTTCAAATGCAAAAAGTCAGCGCCCTAACACAATCCACCTTTTCAGGAGGATGCAGAGATTTTCCCTGAATGCCCAGCTGAAACGGGTCCTGTTAGCTGCCGAGTGCATTTATTGCACCTGCAATTATCGGAGTAATTGACAAGGTCTATTTTTCCCACATTAGACCACAAATGAAACATTTATTTTGACACACTGGGCTACCGCCATCTGTGCCCCAGCATCCAAACATTTTTTTTCAGTGTTCTATTTCAGCTGTTCCAGTTGGCCTCAAAAGAGCTTAAAATCTGGCAAAAATTGCACCAATGTTTAGCTGTGCACAGAAGGTATTATTTATATGTCAGTAGCACATTGTTCACTTTCTAGGTCTCTAACAGCTGTATATGGTGACATGATCCTTTACACATGCTAGTTTTCATGAAATATGTCATATGGCTATTAAGTGCAAGGCATTATACTTTTCATGTATATATAAAGACTATGCAGTCTTTCTGTATTCTGTACAGCCACTGTATAGAATTTCAGCATAAGCCACATACTAGATCGTTTCATCCAAAGTAATGATGCTTTTTTTTCTGGCATTTGCAAAAAAAAAGAAAAAAAGTTAATCTGAGTCTATTCTTCAAATATTTGGTCAAGCATTTCATTTAAATATTTTTGTATGGAAACGTATGGTATGTAATATCAGTAATAATACCCCTGAGGAAAGAACTAGGACTTAGCTCTCAGATGATCTGATTTGGAGAGAGTCAATAAGATTATTAAATTGAGGTGCAGCTGATATCAGTGCCCAGGGCCACCCCGGCTTCAGTGCAGCCTGTTGGATAGCAGGTCACCTAACTTCAGAGTCTGTAAAGAAAGGTAGACTCGGGCAAGCAAGACGTGAGAGGATATCCTTTTTTGATGTCAGTTCTTTCTTTCAAAATTCCTTAGAATAGATTAATTTATAATTTGTTACAAGAGAATACTGGGCCCAGGACTTTTTTTCTAAATTCTAAAGCTAATTATAACAGTCATTAAAGAAAACGACAAAAGTTAATCAGGTGCTAACAGTTAAAGGAATGTGAGAAATATTCTCAGAAATATATATTTATTAAAAAAAAAAAGAATGTAATACAGCACTCCAAACTTCTGACTTTTTCATCTCAAGCACTTTTCAGATAAACTCTTCCAATTCATAAGCAACAAATTCCAGGTGCATCAATCAGGCACATTGCTTGGGAGTTAGAGAAAAAGAATGTCTTCAGGCAGATTTTTAGGTAAACTGCATGTGTCATTCTTCCAAACAAATTGTGAAAGTTTATCCTGTGTTGTTGATACTGAAATGAAAAACACTCGAGAACTAAATGTCTTTCAGTTCAAGCTCACCTCATTCTGTTTGGACAGCAGCTTGAGGGGAAAAATGGTTTGTAGCAGTCTCTGATTTGCCCACATTTTGTATCTGTGCATAAGCCACCACCCTATTTAGTGAGTGTTCCACATTCCCCCTCCTCAACCAGGCAGGGCTCAAGCATCTTGTTCCAGTTAAAAAAAAAAAAAAAAAAATTTAGACTTCGATTAAAGAAGTCTAATAGAGAGGAATATATCCTCCTTTCCTCCCTGGATAAGATAGCAGTATTAAGAATCAAAGTAAGGATGTATTGCTTAGCTGGAAGCTGAAAGCCATAACAGGGTGCCTTTAAAAAAAAATCATATAAGACCCAGTTTGTGAATGCATATCAGCAAGAGTCTTAAATGAAACCCTATTCCCATCCCTGTTCTTGATATTCATGAAGTCTATGTACATCCCTATTATTCCATGGCACATTTTCCTAAGGTTCAATGTCATTCAGGCATCCTGGGGTTAAGAGAAGCGAGTACAGAAGGTTATTTCTGAGATTGTCTGAAAGTCTGAGAATTCACTTTTATTATTCACAGATGAATCAGCATGTCGTCATCTCTGTAGGCCTAGACGTAAGAAAGGTATAATGTCCAACCCCATGCGAGTCACGACTGCAATGAAAGCCCTTTATCTGAGCAATACCAAAGCGCGTTCAACTCTGGAATCAGATGCAGGCTCAGAAGCAGCCAAGCAAGAGCAGCTCAGCTAAAGCTCTGGGGAAAAAAAAAAATAAATCCCGGCCTGAAATATTGTGAAATATAAATAACGAAACTGGCTTGGGTTGCATAAGCATATGCCGAATGATATGTGAAAAAATACATCCTTTAAAAGCAGAAATATCCATTTCCCCAAGGTGAAGCATGGTGGTTTGAGACCTTTCTTGTTCTTTGCAGCTCTGCTGTGCCTGCAGACACTCTTTGCTGACTAATATTCATTGCATCAGTGCCATCAGAAGAAAGTTTTGTGGTCATCTAGCTATATTTATTCAGTCAGGAACTTCAGTATTTTCCTTTCTCAGTAAACCTCATCTGATATTATAAATGTAAAAGCTAAAAGCTCACCAGGGATCGTAAAGCAATGCAATTTTTATGGACAAGCTCAGATGTGATCTAAAATTTACCTGTTAACAATTCTTTTGGGCTCTGCAGTGCAATTGGTGCACATAAAAGGAGATTTTCACAGGAATCTGCAGACTTTGCAAGTCCACCCAGTCTTTTTCAGTGGAAAACAATGTTCCTGTCTTGAATAGGCTCTCCTGCAGTGTTGCCTGCCCTACAATTTTTGGTCAGATTAATATCCAAGGTGCAAAATTTTCTTCAGTGAAGCCGATAGTTTTAACAACGTGGGTAAAATGCAGGACACAAGGCTAACACATGCAGGAAAAACTGTTGTTGTTTTAGCTGATATAGCAGTATAACCTCACTTGGCTTCTCTCTCTCTCTGAAAAAATTCTCAAGTAGCTTGCATGAGGTATGTGTCTTAGACCATTTAGATATGATTTATTTAGCTGCATATGGAAGTTAGGAAAACTGTTCTGTATGTAAGATAAAAATTTATTGTATCTGTGAGAGCTGCCAGTAAAAACAACTGATGCCCCCAAAAAGTAATATTGGCTGACGCAGCTTGCCTGTCCAGAGGGAATCGATGTACCTGATACTATCTGCCCTAGCTGGTCCACATCATGATGGGACAGGAAATAGATATACCAGGAGGGAGTATATACAGAGAGGATTTAGCACTGACTAATCATAATCATAGTAAATGATAGTCAGCATGGATAAAATTAACGTTTTCATGAAAACAGAGATGAGACATTATCTGGAGAGGGACCAATTACAAATGACCCTGCACACGCATGCATAATTAACAGAATTCAAGAAGCAGCAATGATCATTCTTTTAACACAGCGTAAGTCTGCCTAGAGAGAGGTGTACATATCAGAAAAACTCAGCATGAATTTTTTAAAACTCTTTGACTAGTTTGGCTTTGGGGAGCTTGTCAGATTATTAACACTACTTTAACTAATTTTAATTTTGTTTAATGTGATTTCTTTTTCCATGAAGCTCTTTGAAAAAATGTTGTTTATGCAAATAAACTACATGGAAAATTGGTTTTAGAACTAAATGACAGTTGACAGAGTAGATGGTAATAACCTATTGGGAACTCCTAAAGCATGATTTGTTTACTCAGTGGTACAAATCGAATAGCTCTGATAATTAGGGACACTAAATATTTTAATAGTGGCTATTTTAATTAGATTTCTATGGCTGGATTTCAGTCCCCACCTAGACTGTTTTGTGCTACCCCAGTGGCAGCAAAGATAGGCCTAATCCTTATTTCAATGCTTGCCTTACTAAGTACTTCAGAAGAGCTGGGATAATGATGGTCAAATTTGTCCTGTTCATTTCCTATCAAAACACTATTTCTTGCTTCACTGTTTGCACAAAGAATAAATCCTTCCATTTTCTATCCTTGCTGTCAGCCCCAACGTCTCTACTTGCCTTCACCTGACTCCGTAATTCTTCTCTTCTGCCTGGCATGCAAATCTAGTAAGAAATCTAAATAATCTCTTCCCCCACCCAAGCCCTGAAAGCAAATCTTGGGTTTGGATGTATTTATATATTTATAATAAATATATAAATATTTATTTATATTTATTTTAAGAATTTCTTGCTTTGTTTGGATTTCAAGGTATTGCTCTAGGTATCTCATGGAGTTCTGTGGAATCAAACTAATCTCTATAGCATCTACCATATCTGTAAGTAACCCCATAAATTTCTTACATGTTCAAATGATCAAATACAGATGCCATCTAAGGGGGCAAAAAAAAAGCCTGTTTGGAACATTACCATTTTCGTGGCATTGCAAGATGTGGCCTACTGGCAACAAGATAAAATAGCACTTTATATTCAGTGGAATGATTTGAGCCCTATGCTGCTGGTCTTGCTGTCCTGCCAAACCTGCATCATGCTAAAGATGCAGCGCTCTCACAGCAGGGGATGGTGGAGACCAGTTCCAGAGCTCTTGGAAAGGAATATGCCAGTGACAACAGCAGTGAGCTGAGTTATGCCATGAATGAAATATTCCTAATCTAGCTAGGAAATCACATAGGGCTACAGATAAGCATATTAGTATAGGAATGAAAATCACTTGGAGAGCTAAAGAGAGAAAGCTGAACTATGGTGCAGGATGTCAAACCAGGTATTAGGAGGATATTCCAGCTGTGGTAGAATAGCAATCATAGGGCACAACATGACCATGAAGGATGCATATAGTTCAAGACAGCCAGAAATTAAAGGCTGGTGGGAGAATACTCTATGTTCATTATATGCTAGATTGAAGAGAGAAAAAAAAAAGTAGAAAGGATAAATTTGTGTAAAAATTAAGGAAGAGTCGTAAAAGGATTTGGCTAATGATGGGTGATTGCCTTAGTCCCCTAGCCTTCAATTTGCATTGGATAGAGATCTCTATAACGTTGTTAGAAAGGGAAAAACTAGCATTAGGGAGGACATAGCATCTTTGAGGGAGATACTGACCTTCCAGAAACAGACTGTAGAATAAGTATTACTAATAATGGAAGAATGTAGGAATATCTCTCTGTGGTAACTAAAAGTGTTTTTTTTTCACTGAACAAATGCTATATTACAAAGCAAAGCAAATTTAGAGGAGAAACTAGCTAATTTACAAAACTAAGCTTGACCTTTGCAGCTTGTCCCTGCAAGCTACAGATGGCTATCTGTGTAATAGGGGAGAAGAAGAAAAAAATCTAAAGCCTGTGCTCGCATGTATCAAGCAAGCTAAGAAAATATCAGGCAGTAGTTAATCACAGTGGATAACCCAGTGGACGGTTCTGGTTACATATATTAAAGAGAAAACTTATTCTCACAAGTATAAGCTTGATGGTAAACTGCTTTATGATTTGAGAAGAACAGGACAAATTCAAAATTTGTAAAAGCTATTTGAAGGCAGAATAATGTTTGAGTAAAAATCAAGCTTGGCTTGTTTTAGAATAAAAAAACAAGGCTGAAGGGTGGTGGGGAAAAGAATTTTTTTTGTATAAACAGTAACATTAGCATAACTGGACCTATATCCTAATACAAGTAAATACTGTCTGAACAGCAGAAGTTACTTAATCATTAGAAGATATGACTTCCAGACAACTTTCTGTATATAGCTAGACCAAAGTAAAAAAGCACAGTGAAAATTAACTGTTTAAGATCAGGATTATAAAACATTGTGACCTGTGATTTGATTTGAGATGGTCACTTCAAGTGACCTTTGCATCCCAGACAGATGAAGTGGTTTTTATTCTTGGCATTGACTAACAGTCAAGATATTTTATCCTTTTTGCATGCTGCACAGAGAGAGGTGGTATCTACATTGGACATGAGGTAGATCTTGTTTCTTTATTCCTTGCTCCTATATACCTTGTCAGTAACTTGGGGTGTTACTGTGCTGTGCCACAGTATATGCACTTGCAAGAACTTGTCTTGGCAGGAACGATTTTGGAAATATTTGAGTGCTTTTGGAAGGAAAATGAGAAAATTATTTGATTAAAAATAGACTTTTCCAAATGAAGTGGTCTTTTATCTGTATGATGTTACTATGGAGATACACGCTGAGAGCAAAGAAAAGGCATTTGGTTAGATAGATGTATGCTCTTGTATAGTAAAAGGGAGTTAAAATGGGTAAGCTTGTTGCCACATTGCTTTTGTGGAAATAGCAAAAGATATTATTTAACTGCTGCTGTTTCCTTTTGAAGGTTGATAAATGAAAGCTAAACAGGTGTGAATCTCACAGTTTTGCACATCCAGTGCCTCTATCTGCAGATTCAAATGGGCCTGTCTGCTTTAATTGTTAGTGTTGCTAAAGGGATGTTTGCCCCTTGAAATCGTTTTGAAAGCTGAAATACTCCAGCGTGATTAACTTGCAGAAACTGAGACCAAAATGACAAGGTATATGATAGTGTAACAGTATTTAATTCATCAAAAGCATGAGCCAGTAGTCCTTGAAGTTTTGTGAAGCATTCTAGTACCTGTTAACATAAACAATGCAACATAAACAATAACTCCACTGTAGTGTATGACAAGGTCTATAAACCTAATGCTTTTTAGGTTACGATAAACCTTAATGGCCTCTGTCGTTTGGAGACCTGCTTACAAAACTTTTTATGTTGCAGACATAAACCTGATGGAGTGGGATATCAGCTATTCTGGATGTTTAAACTAATACTAGAGATGGGGAAAACAACTTGAGGGAAATAACAACCGGCCCAGTCCCTCCAGGGACTCCACTGGTGGGTTTTTATCAAAATGCAAATTCCTTGTTACCAAAGGCAACCTAACATACTGTCCCCACTAAAACACTAAAACACCAGGCTTTGCCTGTGCAGTGGTCCTGCTGCTGGGACTCCATCACCAGTAGAGCTACAGAAATGCCTCTGTGTTTATATTCCAGCCAACACCTTCCTTTCAAAACCCAGGGCTAAAAGGATCAGGTGCAGCTGGCCAGACTCTCACAACATCAAATTGCACATTAGGAAATATCCAAAACTACGTGAGCTTGGGGCTATGGAGAAGTTATCCTATTGAGTGTGACCTGTAAGCTATCAATTAAATGTGCCATCCCACAGCTGAAACTACTTTGCTGCGTAGTATGAGATTTTTTTTCAGTTACATGCAATGGAATCGGCAGACATGACCTCAAGGGTGTACCCAACAGCTTATAAAGCCCTGGCTAAGCATTGCTTTGTCTTGCTATGCAGCAGAACAATTTTGCAACTTTTGGAACTAAAGTCCTAATTCTGCCATTCACGAGGAATTTATTTGCCAAATAAAATTCAATTCAGGCTGTTCTGATAGCAAGCAGAAAAGATATGTCTCCGCTAAGTTGCCCCAGATGAATCATAAAATATAATTTAATATGCATATGCATCTGTTTCATGGAAAGTATGGGTGGAGGAAAATTATGTGTATGGGGTTCTCCAGTAGTGATCAGTTCAGTGGTATTTTTAATGCGAAGTTAAAGTTGCAAGGAAGAATGAAGAACAGTAATGGAGTCAACATCTTTTTCTTTCCCATGCCTTTCCTATTTCATGTCTAGTTCAGTAGGCTGCTTCTATGAGAGACAGCCCTTTTTGTGTTGCCTGTGACATGCAGATTTGTTTGTATTTATTTGCTTCCTGGAGCTGAATTCTAAATTACAGAAGCAGCTCTGAAAGAACTTGGGTTTATTGTTGTTTTGAACTGCTAAGACCACTATAATAATGCTGTGGTTTGCAGGAACGATTCAAAGAGACAGTTGACTTTTATTTCTTGCCCTCAGACACTTGACCTGTTTGAGGATTGCAAATGGCAGTGATGCTGCTATATCACAGAGATCAGCATTTGCTGACCCCAGTGGCAGCTGCTACAGAGAACACTGTACCAAGGTATGCAATGTAGTGAGTGGAAGGCAGAAAAATATTGCGCATCTTTTGTGATGGTGAGGAGGGAGCATTGGCTTATTTTGTGCTTGGCATTATCCTCCCGAGATCTATGCTCTTTGTTTGTGTAACTTGTGTAGTTATACGAGTTAATATGGACTGTGCTCTCTTGGAAGGGGTAGATGCCATTTCTGTCATTGTCCTCTTTTCTCCTAGCAACACAGTGGGGAAAAATGCAGTATTAAAGAGAGCAGGGCTGCAAGAGCTAGCACAGACCAAACTGGGCATCTTGTCTCTGCAGGGATTAATGTCGCTTCCCAGTAATGCACCAACCCAGGTAACCCTAGAGATTTGGGAATATTCATGCACCAAAAGCCAATTGGTCTTTGTTGTAAGATGCTGAAGGGTCCCACTGATGGCCTTTTGAAGGAAGCATAAAATCTGAACAAGAAATTCCAGTATCCAGGTTTCTTGGGGCTTATTGGCAGGGACAGGTGTAGCAACCAGGCTATGTCATTCCAAAAGTAGCTTGAATTTCACAAAAATTGCTGTACTACAGGAAACTTGCTTGTATACAGGAAAATCTCATTTCTAAATGCCATCAGATCTTTTTCCACACTTAATCTTGACAGATCCCAGCACTGTGACAGACTGCACAAATTTGAATTAAATGCTTGGATTACTGTAGCTATGAAAATTGGGGTTCTCACCTGTTGGATTTTGGTTTTGTTTTGAGAAATGTCCTAACAGCAGCAGCAGAGAGCAGTTTGTTGTATCCTCTCCCTTGTCTTTCTCCAACATAACACTGCCAGTTGTCAGCATTACATGTATAACTGTCAGTGTTGATAACTTAAAGGGAGAAGAGAGAAATGATATTTATTTCACTAAAATAAGAACTTCTGATGATCATAACTTTAATCTCTCTGAACAGTAAATTTTTTACCCACTCCAAAAAGCCAACAATCTAAACTGGACAGGGAGAAAAGCAACTTGGTCATTAGTGAGTGAAAAGAAAGGACTTTTCTCCTTTTAAAAGAAAACAAACCCCATCAAGTTGTAAGCTTTTTGACTAATTGGTGTAACTTCTAGGGTCTTTTCACTGATATTTTAAATAGAGCTTTCAGGAACTTTTCTTCAAAGGGTTCCTTTTCACAGTATAAAGTTTTGAACAAAGCAGACTTTTTTCTAACAAATATTTTTGGTCCCTACTAAGACTAGTATTCTAGTGTATACTATCACCTCCCCCTCCTTTAAAGACAAGTACATTAAAAAACAAACCCATTTTTGATTTTCTCTTGCATAGGCTAAGCAAATCTATTTTGATAAGCTGTGTG